TTAGTCTGACCCGTCACCCAGGACCTGTTTGCCTTGGGAGACCCTACCAGGGACATATAGCCCCCGACAACATAGCTCCTAGGATCACTCGGGTACTCAAACCCCTCCACCACAATAAGGTGGCGGTTCGAGGAGGGGTTGTGCAAATAGAGTAGACTAATTTGTGATCAGAAAATCATAAGCCAAATATGTCATGTTAAAGCTAGGCTAATGCTAAGATACACCAATCGAACATTTTTTATTTATTTTAAAAGGATCACGAGTGTGTACAATGTGAGGGGTGGCTGCAGGAAAAAATACTTATCGCCTAAAAATTTTTGACTGATGCTTAACCGATTTGCATGGATGATACTTGAGTAGTGCTGTCAGGTCATTTCTTGTGTGGTCATGAGGGTGATGCATGCATACTCATTACAACTTCAATGTTTGCCTGAATAATGCTGCTGCCATGGGAACGTATCCTTCCTAGTCTGCTGTTGTAGATCTGCAAAGCTGTTTATATTGTCCTGCCATCATCACTAACACAGCTGCTTCATGCAGGTTCACACATATGAAGGCCTCAATATTTTGCAGCACAGAGGGTTCCATTATTTTTGATAAATTGTTTGTGCCTTTGTTTATACATTTGTACTTTGCTTGGACATTTGCTTCTCTGCCCTCTATATGTACAGACATATATTTGAATATTCTTCCTCACCGGCATCAGAGACATACCCCGTGCAATACAAAGCAACTACACCTTGAACCAGAGTGATTTGTCTCTGAAGCATATTTTGCAAGATTCTGGTGATTTATAAGCTTTATTAGAGGTAAAAAGAGACTCAGTGACATAAGGGCAGAACCTTCAGTTATAGTTTTACATGCTCACATGCTTAGAAAACAGACACACAGTGTGAGACAGAAAGAGCTCTAATGTGTTAAATGGGCTTTCAGTTTGATCATATAGGTCCAAATAACAGAGGACACGAACAGGTCATAATTAGTTATCATGTCATTCCCAAATTTATGCATATACTTCTGTGTGATGGCATCTTATTTTCATGGACATTTTCTCTCTGGATCACTATGTGTCTCATACACACACATATTAGTCCACACTCATTCACACACACACACACACACACACACACTACAGATACTGTATACTGGAGATATAGCCACTGTAATATCATAGCAAATGACATACAAAGTATACAAATAGTGGATCTCTGTTCTTGTTTACTTCACATTTTTTTCTCAGAGCTTGGCAACTGTGTTAAAAGGTACAGAGTGCTTTAGACTAGAGTCGATGGACAGGAAATACCTCACTTGCATCTTTTCCTTCTGTCCCTGTCCCACCCACTTAAGATGCAAGAAAAAGATGCAAGGAAAAAATTTCAAGGAGAGAGGAATTAAAGAAACACATTTTTGGAAACACAGGATGTCCTTTCTTACAGACCTTCATCTGAAGCCTCTGATCACTAAATGATTTCCAATAAAGGGTCGTGGTGGTCCATAAAAGACTTTGGCAAAGGATGCTTTGTGTATCCTCTCTCTTGGTCTTTCAAGCAGCCTCCTTACACCTGGATCTTCGCTCCTCATAGGAGATACTGTATAAATTATAACTTGGGACTGTTCCTTAGTCCTCAACCCTTGCTTGACCGGAATGATCATATCAGACATCAGATGCAGCTATGGATGCAAGTAAAGGAATTGAGATTTATCCTTTGTGTCTCCCTCCTCCCCTAGTTCCTCTCCTTTTAGACAGGTGTGGTCCTTCTGTTGGCAACACAGTCTCCAGGCAGCATCTCTGCGTTGTTGTGAGCAGCTGCGATAGTTAAATCATCCACAGCCATATTGTCTTTGACAGGTGAGGTTAAGGTGTAGAGCATGAACTCTGAGCTCACTGTCACTGGTGTTGGCAAACCTGCTATGGTGGTGACTTTGGACTCACCACAGAGGGATGGTTCTTGGTCTGGCACAAAGGATCCTTGAAAGGAGTCCCCTGCACCGTGGTTGCTCCTGTTACTGTATCGACGGCCGTGATTCTGGTAAGGGTTTCGGTAGTAAGATGAGTTGCGAGAGAAGGACTGCTTCAAGAGGGAAGGCCGGCGTGGAGTGCGCAGTTGTCGATGTTTGTCTATGAACACATGTACTGCCAGGACACCCACCATCTCAGCCAGCACAAAGGACAGAGCCCCAAAATAAAAAGACCAGCCGTAGGAGTAGCTCTTCTTGCTGTCACTCTGGCCAGGGTCACCTGAGTTGGCTGATATGTACACAATGATGCCAATGATGTTACTGAGACCTGCAGGAGTTCAGGTGGATAGAGGGGGTCAATCAATTAAACATTTTTGTATAGCAACTTTCATAAAGTGCTTAACTACTGACAAACTAATAACCCATCCATCCATCCACTATCTCTACTGCTTATCCTGAAGAGGGTCATGGGGGGCTGGAGCCAATCCCAGCTGACAGTGGGCGAGAGGCGAGGTCCAGCCTGGACAGGTCACCAGTCTATCACAGGGCTGGCACATAGAAACAGACAACCACACACACTCACACTCACTCCTACGGGCAATTTAGAGTCACCAATCAACCTAAGCTACATGTCTTTGGGCTGTGGGAGGAAGCCGGAGTACCCGGACAGAAGCCACAAGGCAAAAGGAGAAAGAATAAAAGAATTTTAAAATCAGTACAAAAACAACCAGGTCAGTTGGATCACACATTACACAGTGTGATAAATACACATTCTGTAGAAACCAGTGTGTGTTTGTTTCTGACCTGCAGAGATAAACAGTATACCAGCGCTGAGAATGACATTGTAGTGCGACTTGTAGAACTCGCTGGCAGCTACACACACACCTCCAAGAAATAATAATCCCACACTGAGGATGGGGAAGAGGCTGGAGGCTCGTACTGCTCCTGAGGAGCAGAGCAGAGAGGAGAGGTGAATGTATATAAACAGTTACATTATAGCTATTGCATACAACTTCTTTGGTATTATTTAGCACTTACACGGTTACCATCATTAACAGTAACAGCTAGCATAGTCAGAATTATATGTGCATGTGTATTACCCACGTAGTAAATACTCTGCAGCATCCTGGTCATAATCAGCATCATCAGGAAAGTGGTCAATGTTTTTGCAAATACCTCGAAATATCCCTGCAGAAAGGCAAAGACAAAGAAATCTATTGCAGCACTTCCATCTGATAACTAAATTGGCTCTGTCACCCTCTGTGCTATTTCATGACAACATTCATAGTCTTTCTGACCCAGTAGACCGAGTGGCATGATGCCAAATGTGGTGCTTACCATGTGACGGGCTGGTTTGTATTGATTTCTTTTTCCTGCTTTTGAAAAACATACAGCCCCAAGCTTTTTATACTTTTTGCTCTGGATATTATGTGTACACAGACATCTGCCTATGGGCCCCAAGAAGTCAAAAGGTCCAGAAAAGCATTTATGAGAAGTGTGACAGATCAGATTTTTTCATATTTGACGACTCCCTGCTTTATTTTTCTGTGTGTCTGTTTACAAATGTAAACCACTGAAGTGATGACTGGTGTTTTAGATAAAGTAAATGAGCCTGTCATGGTCGTTATATAAGGCCAAACAAACTTCTAAATTGTAAAAACTTTCACATTAATTTGACATCATGGCTCATGCATTTTATTTATTTGATTATTATATAATGCATGCACAGCCAGTTAATTGTTTTTGTTGTCAGTACTTAGTTTCTGTTGGGGAAAATATCTTGTTTGTTTGGAATATAGCTAAGTGAAAGTTTTCATGCCACTTTCATTTTGTTTCTTTCGCAAGTGGTTAATGTAAAGTTGTCAGTAAACCGTCTGTCTAGTTAATATTGTTTATCTCAGTAACCTGTGGCCCTGCAGTGTCTTTCAACATTTGCACAGACAAGAATATATTGATAAACGTGTCCTCCATGCATTACAAACAGATTGAATGGTATTGATGATGTGACTCAGTTGACATGGTTACACAAATTAAAACTCCATCAGTAACAAACAGGTCAGACAGAAAAGTCACCGCTCAGACAGCATTTGTTCCAAATACCGTTTGAATACCAAGAGAGACGAGGAAACGTGGATGAACTGAGACATTTTCCGAGCACCTGCGGCATATTTGTCTGCCAGCTCAGTACCACTTGCTTTATTTAAACTATTACTTTGGAGAACAATTTTATTGTGGCTTGACATGAAAATAAACAGGCGCTGCCTTGACTAAGAAGGACTAAGTGTGTCCCGCTGGAGTGTAAATACCCACTGCTGAGTATTTACACGCCACGGCTCCCACGTAGCATATATTCTCTCTGCATTATATTGTGTTCTTGTTGTATTTTTATTTGCTCCCTTCACTTGCTGTTTTAAAGTGCCTTAGATTTGTGTTACTGCCTATTTAGATTTGTGTTATTGCTCATCTACTTTATATTTTATTTGTATTTTGTGGCATTCATGTGGACGGCAAAGTAAGAATTTCATTGTACAGGGAAACACGTTTCTTAACTGTGTATATGACAAATAAACACTTTGACCTTTGACCTGTAAATGTCTCTCTGTATACAGTATTTAAGGAGTGCACACAGCTTGTTCCCTTGTCTGTCTTTGGGTATTTTTCTATTCCTTTCTGTTCTTGGCTCTATCTTTGTTATTCCCATCTTGTCTCTATTGATTGTTTTGTCATTTAATAATCCTGAGAATATCAACACTGCCATCATCATCTTATAGTTATTTATGGCACATAATGCACAGACAGCCGTCAGCCTTCAGCCTTCAGCCTGTCTGCCTGCAGGCTAAAGAAATACACAAGACTGTCAAGACACTGGTAAACTCTTTACGCTCTGTTGCCTCTCTATTAAATCATTCTGAAGCAGACACAGTGGAGCTGAAAGTGAAGTGTGTGAGGGACAAGTAAAAGAGCTGCACACTGTCATTTCATTTAGCAAAGCAAAAAGAGGATGTGAAGTAAGAGAAGGAGGGGTGTTATTAAAAACAATAAATAATTGACAATGTCATTTCAATCCATCACCTACTCATGACTTAAACTCATCTCCCCCCTCCTCAAGATTCATCTATTTTAATTTTTCCACCAATCAGCTCAAACATAACTCCATCAAAAGATAAAATATGGGATGTCCTGCAGGAGAAAAGACAAAATAGTTTTCCTTAGGCATAAGGAGATTCAAATAAATAGAAACTAAAGAAGTAGCAGATATGTTTTAAGTGACCATTTTAACAAATGCTAGTTGAAATCTGGTTTAGGTTTTCCTTCCCAGCTGTAAATCAGTGTTGTTTCTATGTCCTCAATGATTTTATTTGTAATATTGGTGGAAAGTAACTAATCACATTTACTCAAGTACTGTAGTCCTACTTAAGTACTATGCTTTGTACCGTTTTCATTTTCTACTTCATACTTTGTCTTCACTATACTTTATTGTACTCCGCTGCATTTATTTTATAACTCTGGGCACTTTTCAGAATGAGATTAATAAAAATAAAATACAGTTGAATCATAAACTTTATTAATCCTAAGTGGGAAAAGCTGCTGAACAGTAATTCAAATTATAAGTATATAAGGTAGTTAACATTAGCTCCTCCTTTACATCTGCAACATTAAAGTGAAGTACACAATAACATATCAATAATTATCATCTAATAATACGATATACATTGCTATGAAATGTGCAGCTCTGCATAATGAGGACTTTTACTTTTACCATAGTAAGCATATTTTGATGTTAATACTTTTGTAGGCAACATTCTGAATGCAGGACTTTTACTTCTGAGTATTTTTACACTGTGATACTGCAAAACTTTTATTTCAGTAAAGAATCTGAGTACTCCTTCCACCACAGCTTGTTGTTTCCTACCCTCAGTGCAGCAGGTCCTCCACAGACCGGAGTGGGTCAGGACCTCCTCGTTCTTGTGGAGGCTCTCATTGTCGCTCAGGCTCTTGGAGCGACACACACCGCGGGAATACAGCCAGTAGTCCGTGCCCACGGCGATGGTCATGAGGCTAAAGGCGCAGAAAGCCCCCGCCGTGGTCAGCAGCATCATCACACCCCGGCTACACAGCCTCATATCGGGACCAGAGGGGTGTTAGAACCTGAAGGAAACCTCCCCCCACTGTCTTATCTCTGTGTGGATCCAGAACAGGGAAGGAAAGTCTCCTGTAACCTGCGCTAAACTCGTACCGCTGGACATCTGTGTAGGTCTCGGGATGGGAGCTGACGGTTCACAGAGTTGGGACGTGTCCTGTCAAAGGCGCAGACGAAAATCACGGGGTGTTGTTGTTTAGTCAGTACAACTGAAGAATCAAAAGAGAAAAGACGGACCAGGGTGGAAAAGGGCGACATCCTCCACAAAAGAAAAGTTTTTTTCAGAGAAAACAGCAGTGTCTTTTGGCCCCATTTTAGTTTTGTAGCTCTGTATCACTGATCGCAGGACAATGCCACATTTCTGTGTGTTTGCTCCTGAAAGCTCACTGCCTGTATCTGAATCAGTTCATCAGTGTTGTCGGATTGGACTGCGTTAGTTTGACCTAGATGTACCAAACTGTCAACTCACTGAATGTAAGTGACCAGAAGAACCGCAGCCCATGTAACATCACTACTACTAATACTCTGTACTACCACAAACCACCAGTGCTGGAAGACGTAGTTTCAGTTTCTCCAAGTAAAAGATGCAAAAACACACTGGAAAAAAAATCAGTGTAGCTTATTACAAGTAAGTTCTGTGGTCAGATTTGTACTTAAAATTCAGCAAGTGTAGTAAAACGTTCTCAAAATAAAAGTATTTGGTTATGTTGACTTGTGTCTGCAGATTTTCAAAATTTAGACTTGGCTGAAAAAGGACAGGAACAATTTAAATACATTAATATTGGATGAATTTATCCCTTGTCTTTAATGTGAAACCTTAGTCTGTAAAGTACATTGTTGTTGCAATAGCCAGTGAGTAGCAGGTATTTATTAATTGTTGGACAATTAACACTGCTTAATCACCTGCTGCTGTTTTTAAGGCAAAATTAAAAGCTTGAAAATACAACAGTGCCTCTATCCACTTTCTTTACCCAGAGTAATCTGGTAGATTACAAAGTGCAATAGTTCCCTATATCTCATATCAGTGCCCTTGTTAGAGCTGATGATCGGATGGGAGAAGAGCTGTCCACACAGAATAAAAGCATAAATGAGAACATTAATATTTAAGGCTTGGAATATAAAGTGAGTGAGTATGTGTGTGGAGAAGCTAAAGGAATCCAAATCAACAACAAAACAAAGATGGCTCATTATTTTTAAAAAATGCATGTAGGCCTACACCTCACATACCTTTATACTTGTGAAAGATTTACATGTATTTCAAAATACACAGGAGTTTTTCAGTACAATGTAAAATGCTCATTTTCAGCTATAGTAAAGGCATAGGTGACTTACCTGAGCTTGACATGCGAGTCGCAGAGCTCTCTCCGTTTAAACTTTAAAGACACTAAATGACCTTAAAGAGTAGCAGCACAATCTAAATGACCACAAAGAAACAAATCTTTGCCATAGAAAAGAGAATAAAGGCCTATAGTAGTGCCTCAATAGAAAACATTGGGGCCAAAAGTCTGAACTAGTTCTCTGTCAAAGTGGAAGAAGAGCAAATATACAGTGCCTTGCGAAAGTATTTGGCCCCTTTGAACTTTGCGACCTTTTGCCACATTTCAGGCTTCAAACATAAAGATATAAAACTGTAATTTTTTGTGAAGAATCAACAACAAGTGGGACACAATCATGAAGTAGAACGAAATTTATTGGATATTTCAAACTTTTCTAACAAATAAAAAACTGAAAAATTGGCCGTGCAAAATTATTCAGCCCCCTTAAGTTAATACTTTGTAGCGCCACCTTTTGCTGCGATTACAGCTGTAAGTCACTTGGGGTATGTCTCTATCAGTTTTGCACATCGAGAGACGGAAATTTTTGCCCATTCCTCCTTGCAAAACAGCTCGAGCTCAGTGAGGTTGGATAGAGAGCGTTTGTGAACAGCAGTTTTCAGTTCTTTCCACAGATTCTCAATTGGATTCAGGTCTGGACTTTGACTTGGCCATTCTAACACCTGGATATGTTTAGTTTTGAACCATTCCATTGTAGATTTTGCTTTATGTTTTGGATCATTGTCTTGTGGGAAGACAAATCTCCGTCCCAGTCTCAGGTCTTTTGCAGACTCCATCAGGTTTCCTTCCAGAATGGTCCTGTATTTGGCTCCATCCATCTTCCCATCAATTTTAACCATCTTCCCTGTCCCTGCTGAAGAAAAGCAGGCCCAAACCATGATGCTGCCACCACCATGGTTGACAGTGGGGATGGTGTGTTCAGGGTGATGAGCTGTGTTGCTTTTACGCCAAACATAACGTTTTGCATTGTTGCCAAAAAGTTCGATTTTGGTTTCATCTGACCAGAGCACCTTCTTCCACATGTTTAGTGTGTCTCCCAGGTGGCTTGTGGCAAACTTTAAACGACACTTTTTATGGATATCTTTAAGAAATGGCTTTCTTCTTGCCACTCTTCCATAAAGGCCAGATTTGTGCAGTATACGACTGATTGTTGTCCTATGGACAGAGTCTCCCACCTCAGCTGTAGATCGCTGCAGTTCATCCAGAGTGATCATGGGCCTCTTGGCTGCATCTCTGATCAGTCTTCTCCTTGTATGAGCTGAAAGTTTAGAGGGACGGCCAGGTCTTGGTAGATTTGCAGTGGTCTGATACTCCTTCCATTTCAATATTATCGCTTGCACAGTGCTCCTTGGGATGTTTAAAGCTTGGGAAATCTTTTTGTATCCAAATCCGGCTTTAAACTTCTCCACAACAGTATCTCGGACCTGCCTGGTGTGTTCCTTGTTCTTCATGATGCTCTCTGCGCTTTAAACAGACCTCTGAGACTATCACAGTGCAGGTGCATTTATACGGAGACTTGATTACACACAGGTGGATTCTATTTATCATCATTAGTCATTTAGGTCAACATTGGATCATTCAGAGATCCTCACTGAACTTCTGGAGAGAGTTTGCTGCACTGAAAGTAAAGGGGCTGAATAATTTTGCATGCCCAATTTTTCAGTTTTTTATTTGTTAAAAAAGTTTGAAATATCCAATAAATTTTGTTCCACTTCATGATTGTGTCCCACTTGTTGTTGATTCTTCACAAGAAATTACAGTTTTATATCTTTATGTTTGAAGCCTGAAATGTGGCAAAAGGTCACAAAGTTCAAGGGGGCCGAATACTTTCGCAAGGCACTGTAATAGACAATTAGAGCCACTGCAAAAGCAATTAGATTTCTGACTTTATTAACGAAATTTAGACTTTTTAAAAGAGAATAAACTCAGAATTCAGAGTTTAAAGTCTGAATTCAATGTTTTACAGTGGGCCCCGATCCTATTTCGTACAAAATAATCATTAGCTGTTGTGTAAAATATTTGCTTCACCTCAACCTACAGCAGTAATATGCTGCTTATTAATACATAATGATTGAAATATATATATTATATA